TATTTAGCTTTGTGACATATGCCAAGTATGTTACTCTATGATATATAAGGAGAGGAAAAGCTTCTCTTTTAGTTACTTGGAACATTTTGGTGATATCATCTTTCTAATACACAATAAGTAGATATAATGCTGACATTTTCTGGGCCTTAAACCAGAGTATCTCTGATATATGTGATAATACGTAGTATCTCAAGCTGCAGTATGAATTAATTTTACTTAATGAGGTGAACAAGGTGTGGTTTATTTAGGAAGAGGTTATGAGGTAAGGGGTCATGTATCTTTTAAGATGTCAACCAGAGTATCTCTGATATATGTGATAATGCGTAGTATCTCAAGCTGCAGTATGAATTAATTTTACTTAATGAGGTGAAGAAGGTGTGGTTTATTTAGGAAGAGGTTATGATGTAAGGGGTCATGTATCTTTTAAGATGTCAAAACAATGATGCTTTGGAGATCTGACTAAAAATTTCCTGGTGGTTAAATCAAATTACATTACAGTTATACTGTTGACAGAGGTCTTTGCTTGTGCTCAGAGCAGTCGAAGGTCCTGATGCTTAAAATGTTTATAGTTTGCTTCTGTCACTAGGAGAAATGGTGGGAATCAGCCATTATTTTACTGAAAGAGAAAGGCAGTTAAAGAAAATCTTTATATGAATCTAGGATGAAATCTTATTTTGAATGCCTGTGCGTAGTGGTACGTTGCATTGATGATAGTAATGACTGAATGCATTTTGCACACAATATAATTCTCAGTCTTCTTTAATTATCACTTCATCACTTGTATTTCCTGTGCACGCTATGCGTGCATACACAATTCGAACTTGATGTTAGAAATGATGAGGAAGGTGCGTGATGGATGAGTAAGTGGGGGAGTTAAAGAGACTTCAATGGGGGTTAATAGGTGTAGTTAATAGTTATGGTGATCATAGGATGGATGGAGTTAAAATGGTAGTCTTTTGAAATTTTCAAGTTTACCATTTTCATGCTTTTTAAACTGTGTGTAAATTGTGATGACATTTCCTGAATTTGTTGAATTCCTGACTCACATAGGGGTCGAGCCAAAAAATGTTGACTAAAAGTGTGGCTTTTTCTTAAATAATAGTAATAGATTCTGTCACCCCTCCAGTTCTCCCACATATTTCGTCTATATTTTGTTGATTTATAGTCTTATGAGGCTGATGGAAAGTAGAACTTCAGTGAAATTTGTTATTTATTTTTAAAATATCTCAAATATAACGATGTATGAAAGTCAAGTTTTTACCTACTGAAAGTCATACTGTTCAATATGTACCTCTAACTCGTAGCATTCTTGACCCTTAATTGCTTTTTTTCCACTTTATGCCCCTGTTTGGGAGTTGTGAGGGAATAAATTTACCTAGAGAACCTCAGCAAGGTGTAAAGTACAGATCTACCTAGAGAACATCACGGTAATCCTGCTCATACTCATTCCTGGTTCATGGTCTGTTTCTTTTGCACTTCAAGGTTAGGCATGAAGTTTCGTCTGGTTCAACTTGATTTCATTCATTAGAGACCCTTAGTTACAACTCCCCGAAATACTATCTTTCCCCATATTATTGACATTCCTGATGAACTTTTTATTTTATTTTATTATTGTTCAGCCTCTATCAGTACATGTCTTCCAGTTCCCTACCTCCAAGCGTCTTTTGCTTTGCTGGTACCACGAGTTATGGTAGTTATCTGTTCATAGATCAACTTTGGCACATCCAAATTGTGATTTAAGAATCTGGACTTGTATATTTGTAGATCTTTTAGGTTGGCCACTTTTTTATTCCCATGTTATAGGTAAAATGTGCTTTAACGTCATTCAATGGTATGTCAATTTAAAAAGAATCGTGCATTTTTGGCATTGCTGCACCTCATGTATACTTTTATTGCATGTGGTAGGAATTTTAGATTTTTGTTACAAGTTATATGATGACCAAGTGAGCTGTTTTGTACTTATAAAGAGCCCATGTTTGCCTTGTTCTCCCTTGGATATCAGATGAAAGAAGAAATACGAACAAAGGAATAATTCAATAGACTCAAAAGTACAAAGGTGATGTTATGGATTAATAACTATCTGTGTGCCAAATTTATAGGCTATAGTTCTCTGGATGGATAGTATTCGTAGAGATGAAATAATATGGGGCTGTTGTTTGGTCCAGAGGTTTTAGAAGTGTCAAAATCAGTAGGCCAACAACATGTCAACTTCTGATATTCACCTAATGACCTTTGCTGAATGTCCCTCCCTCTCTCTCTCTCTCCCCTCTTTCTTTCTTCCTAAACATACAAGCTGCAATTCCTTTCTTTTGTGTGAATGTTGGTGCCACAATTTTAAGGTTCAGATTTTGCTCCAGGAAATATGTTCAGAGTTATGAATTGTATTTGTGTCCAAGATGAAACCTTTAGTTCTGCATCTGAGCTAGTAGAAAGGTATTATTAACACTCATTGAAGTAAGGTACTAGCCTTTTGGGTGTGTTTGGCAAGTTCTCAAAATGGGGGTTGGACATGGTCCCTTTTTGAGCAAATTTGTGTTTGGGTAAAACTGAGCCGAGATTGGCCCAGTTCTATTAAGGCCAAAATTGGCCCTTAAAACTGGTTTTGTTTTGGACCATCTTCCCCCAGTTTAAAATAAAATCAGTTTAATTGAAAACAGAACTATGGTCACTCTTGGCTCTATTTTAAGATGTGTTTGACAACTCCACAAAAACTTATTTTAAGTGATACAACATTAGTCCAAAATTTTGCTTTTAGTTTGGTAAAAATTGGGCCCAAATTGAACTATTTCTTTCTAGTATAATTTTTTTTTCTAAACTAGTTTTTTTGTGAACCAACCCTTACATGGTTCAACTTTGGTCTAGTTAAGAAAAAACTAGTCTAGTCTAGTTCAGTTTTGAAGTTCTTTGGCAACCTTGTAAAATTGGGGCATGACTGAACCTGGCCCAATTATAAGTGATTTCTTATTCGGTAAATGAGAGGGTAAGAGCTGGCCCAATTTTTCTATCCCAAAATTAACTGCTAAAACTAGTTTTCTTTTGGACAATGAGGGCTGGTCCAAAAGAAAACTGATTTAGCACAAAACTTGGCCAGGACTGGTCGTGGCCCAGTTTTGTGTAGTTTGTTTGTCAAACACACCCTTAATATGTTTGCCAAACACACACTTACAGTTAGTTGATGTATGTACTTCTGAGCAAGTTCTATGACTATATGATGTAGAGAAAGGCAGATCTTGTAGAACTTATTACGACTCTAGGCTAAAGGTAGTAGTGATATACAACTACTGTAGTTTTTGCCCTCTGTCTTTCATTAGTATAGTCCATCATCAGTGTTGATGTTTCGGAGCACTCCTGAATTTTGATATGTTATTTGTGGATTTGATGCATGGTAGTGGCAATTGTTGGTCATAGTATTGGTCCTAGGTCTTTGATGTAAATTGATATTCGCTTTGTTTAAAGTTTTCTATGGCTAAGTGATTGACCTGATGTCCCTGTTAGTAGTTTTTTGGCAAAAGGAGATTCAAAACTGCTAGTAGGTTTCCTTAGTTGGCTTCCCAGACTGAGAGTAGAAAGCTCCTTACACCCTATATAGAAAGTTTAAAACACTTTTCCCTGCGTAAGATATCTCAGTGGATTTGGATGCAAATTGTAATTCTAAGAAGACCAAATATAATATGTAAATTACTTCAACTATCTGCTTCTGATTTATTAATGCAAGTGAGTCCTCTGCTTTATTCATTGATTACTTTGTTTCTTGTTCTTAAGAGGGTTTCATCGGTAGTACATAAAACTGCATGATGAGTGAACTTAAAAATCTCAGAATTTGTACCATGTTCGGCACATCTAATTATTTTGTTTTGTACCGTGCCATGCTATTATTATGCTGATAAATCATTTACTTTCCCAGATAATGCTTGTTGTTGGTACGAGTATGAAGTTTATATGCCATAACCGCGGCCCAAATGAAGATAGTTAAATAGCTCAATGTTTAGTGCGATAATAAGCAAGCTTAAAATCACAACTTGTCTATGATTTTCAGTACAGTGTTCCTTTTATCTTGTAAGAAGCTTTTTATGTTTGTTAACTCCGATATCTCAGTAGTTTTGCTACCTTCAGGTCAGGTCCGTACGTGTAGAAACTATAAAATCCCTGTGCTATAATTGTCTAAAACAGATACTATTAAGGGAGTTCTCATGACATGGAGCTTTTATTGTTCGTGTATCTCTTCAATGATTCTAGCCCTATTACACTTTGCAGGAATTATTAGTCACTACAGTAAATATGTCAATATTCTCTTGAATCATTCATTTTGATGGTAAGATTCTGTTGGTTGTGATCTGGATGGGTTTGTCGGTATAGAACGGTGACAAGGCAATGGACCTCAGTGCCTAAGTGCCTAGCTTTTAAATTTATGATTTAACTGTACTCCTCTGCTAATGAAAAGAGTATCTCGAGCAAAGAAGTTGAGCGCACATGCGTCAACTTTTGAGGGACAATGAATAACACGAAATAAAAGTACATTGCAGGTCACGCCGGTCGCTTATGTTGCCTAGCCCTCCAACTCTATTGGTGGAGTCCCAGGTTTGGAAAATTCTCTCTTCATCGGTAATCCTTTGAACTTTTATGTTACCATTTTTTAATGAAATTTTTATGTTGAAATTTTAAGAACTTTATTATAACTTGGGGTTGTGCTAGTTATGAGTTAAAAGTTCATGGTTACTTAAATCTTACCCCCTCTTTGGTGCTACTGTCTTCCTCTTCATTTTTCTCCAGACCAATACTGTTTTTCTTCATTGAACTTTGAGAGCTAGGAAATCTTTTCAGTACAACTGCAGCCAGAAAAAAAGCCTAACTTTCTTCAATGAAATAAAGAGCAAGTCAAATATGTTGCTTGGCTTTTTTGTAAGCACTTGGAAGGTTCCTTTATTTGTAACTGTAGATTCCTGGGACTTCACCTTAAAGACAAAATATGATAGTTTGTTGATCAAACAAAAGCGAAGACAAGGCACAAAAGCATAAAATTAAACTCAAGGGGGGGCTGCATATCCTGCTCTCTCCCTTTTGTAACATGGCTTATCCTAATCCTTGGATAAGAAATATACACTGAAGAAAAAAATGAATTTAAAAAAAAAAAAAACAAACTTTTTGCTGTGAGTATAATGGACTAAGCCCTTCTTTACAGTATATAAACATTGGGCTGGTCTCATGAGTGAATCTGAATTACGTGTTGTTGCAGCTCCCCTTCTTCAACTCTTTGAATTGCTGAAGCATCTCTTCTCTGTTTCAAGGCAAAGACTGTTCAGCTCACGTTGACTACTAAAATAATACGCACATATGCGTGCCTATATACATACATACATGTAGACGAGAACTCACATGTGTACGGTATAGATGTTGTTGCTGCTTCTTTTGAATGGCTGCTATGATTCTCATTATGCAATAGAATGGCAAGAAGATTCCGCTTGCCCTTAGCAAAAGAACCTGCAGGTTGAATTCGTAAAAATTAAAACTTGTAATTTATACAGATTATATACACATAAAATGAATAATAGAACTTCAGTAAACTTTAATGACAATCTCCGTAATTAAGTAACTTACCGTGGCAGCCGCAAATGGATAATTGCCCTCTCCTGTTGCTAAGACAATAACGAGGTGTCTGGCAAGTATCAACACCATAAACTGTTGCACAGAATTGAAATTAGCTTAAAATGTGTCATTAAAAAAAAAGAAAAACTTTACATAATTTTGAAATTTTTATGCTAGCTGACTCACAATTAGAGCTATTGTTCTGAAGAGAGCTGCGCTTGGATGGGATGGAGGAGAGCACCCAGGGTAGTCATTGTCCGACTCCTCATCAATGAGCCCGGTGTTTTGAGACTCATAATTTAGCCTGGGGACCTCTAGACTTCCTCTGCAGGCGAAAACAAGACGCAACTTGAATATTTGTTTAATCTAATTATCATACGAAGCAAAAAAAATAAAATAAAAAATAATAATAAAATAAAATAAAATCATCTTGCTGACAATTTATCACAAGGGGTCCCACGTTAGTCTTTTCAAACTTATAAGGTAATGATTGAGGCTTTTACAGACAGAGCAGTCTGATGAATCCAGTTGGGGACCAAGGATTTCAAATTTTGAAGGGACGATGTTAGGAGCTAGAATAATAATAATAATAATGAAGGGCAATTGTTAAAGCTGACAACTTTGTTGTAAGCAAAAATAATTACCTGATGGTCACAGCAATATCGAGCAATGCTAGCTTGGGGGGAACAGTGTAACCTGGTTCAAATTTCTGCACAAATGAAAATAATTAAATGGTATTGGAGTAGAATTTACAAGAGATTGTTACTTTGTCGTCGTAGCTAAATGTGAAGTTCATTGGATGAAGAATACAAAAACTCCTAATTTTAAGTAGAATTGGAGAGAACCAAAAAGACCGTCACAGTTCAACTTAGGAGACCCTACAAGCATACCGCCGAAAGAGAAGTTTCAACAGAAAAAGAAAGTATTGGGGGAGATATCCAAGAAGTTAGATTGATAGGAACAATAACAGACACATAAAGAAATTAATGTGAACATCTACAAGCTCTCTCAGGAGAGAGAGAGAGAGAGAGAGAGAGAGAGAGAGAGAGAGAGAGAAGGGGGGGATAACATAATATTGAGACAGAGGAACATTGAATTGAGATAAGACCAGATATCACATATTACAGCCTTGTGATCCCTTGAAAATTTTATCCAATAAACTTCAAACATACTATATATCACTTAAATTCTTTAAAAAACTAGATATCACATATTACAAATAAAACCATCGCATGGAAAAAATCACAAAACCAAAATTCTCTAACTCACAAAATTAAGATAAGAAATTAATTTTGGGCTCTAACCTGAAGGCAAATCTCACAAACTGTGCTCCCTTTCTCATCGCACCACCTCTGTATGCATCTTCTATGAGCAAACTGCAATCGGAACAAGAAAAACAAAGAGAACCCAAATCAGATATACAAGCAAATAACATGCTTTGATAACAATTCTCATCAAAACAACAAAAAAGTTGGGTTTTTTTTTCTTCTTCTTGAAAATTACGATGGCTACCTTGAGAGTTCCAGAGCAAGCACAAGGGGATTCCATGCTTGTTGAGTTCTCATCCTCCTCTTCGTGGCAAATTTTACAGAGCAACGTAGAAGGAGAAGGCAAAGGATCAAACTTTTCTTCACCCACAACAACAACAACAAATTTCAANCAATTCCATCTCTCTCTCTCTCTCTCTCTCTCTATTTTATTTTTTACTTCTGTTTCGGTTCGATTCTATTTTTCCTCTCTCTCTGTCTCTCGCGTTCCCCTGTTTCTCTCTGAAGCTTCGGTTTAAATAAAGCAAATCAGAATTCGAGTGGTTCCTCTAAACTACCCACTTCAATTGAGTAAATGCCGGTTGTGTCCTTGGACCGGCTCAATTGAACAGTGCACACACGGTTTGCTTTCAAGGGTGGGGGGAAAAATAGAGATGGCACAGTTTAGGCGGCAGTTGGACTTGGTTTTGGGGGTTGACCTAATCCTAACTGATAACAGACATCTTTTATGAGTGGATTTTTATCAAACATAATTTAATTATTCCAATTGATAGAGACCTGTGATTTTGTTCCTTTTATATATATATACTTGCTCTTACTCGGGTTCAGGTTGAAAAAGCTCTTGTAATCTACTAGTAAGTTACGTACGTATATCAGACTATATATATTATTAGTTTTGTTTTATAGAAGCATATTGTTATGCAGTTAGATTTGTTGCACGCGCAAAACATACTAAAATCTATTATTCTGATTAGGTAAAAGGTGTGATTTCAACAAGAAGACCCCTATTTTTAATTTTGCAGGCTTAAATGTTTTCGGCTAATTTTACTTTGTTACCTTCGGTTCCAGAATTGTCATATTCGGTTCAAATTTTGTTAGCTTTAGCTTTAATTAATATATAGTATTGTATTATTTAGGTTTAAAACCCCTGAACGAACCCTTCGCCTCAATATCCCTCGTCTCTCACTAACGTACTCCCGTCATCTCCTGTGCCATGATGGCGGCGACAATGAGGCTAAAGAGAGGCGGAGCCGCAAACGGCGGGAAGGTGTGGGGCCTCTACCAATGTTAACTTTGCTTTTTGTCTTTTATTAATATATATGTTTAGTTCATAATATATATATATATATATATATATATCATTATATATATATATATTATAGTATATATATATATGAGAACTATGGGTAATGCTTGTACGAAGCACAAATTTTGTGGCTTGGTAGTCGATGTGTTGCACATCCCGCATCCACTCACTATCCATGTGAATTTGTTCCAACATTCTGAATGAATGGAGGGGGATTTGCGCTCACTACCATTGCACTAACTTTTTGTGCTTGGTAGCGCAAGCCATTACATCATATTTCTCAGTCTCTCTCTGCTCTCTCTATATAATATATATGATATATATATATATATATATATAGAGAGAGAAGAGAGAGAGAGAGAGAGAGAAATGAGTATGCTTGATAGTGAGGGTGGGCATATGCCTCTCCTACATCATTCAAATGATTTGCAATATCATTTATGTTCATGGGATTTTAATCATGGAAAATGATAGATAAATAAGAGATGAGAGAGAGAGAGAAGAGAGGAAGAGAGAGAGAGAGAGACCAGCACGGGGTGCCTTGAGTTTTTGAAAAATTCATTGAGAAACAGTGTGAAAGCATGATTGTATTTCTTTTTTTCTTTTTTTTGGTGAGGGGTGGGGGTGGGGGGTGGGGGGTAAAAATTTTTACCTTAAAAAATGTGATTGTAACCCGTTCACTAAGATTTGTTGCAAATAAGGGGAGCCGATCCCTCGTGGATTATGCTAGTGACAAATGTCCAAGGTAAGCTAAAGACCAAAGATATTAAGTCCAAAGTTTAAATATAGCAAGAGTTATTTAAATATACCAAGATTGTATGCATCTTATATTATAAAACACTTTCTTGTTTTACTTTGAAGTTCAATTGCAATCTTTAAGTTTCCATAATATTAATTTGGAATTTGTTTTTTAACTATATATAACAGCAATTTATTAATGGTCACGTCATTGTACTAGATATTATAATGCTAATTATGAATATTTCGTGGTTAGATAACAGTTAAAGGATGCATCTACCTCCACAATACCCAACACTTAGTTGAGCTACTTGAGTAGAGTTAGTTAAAATTTTGCCCACCTTGCTTTCGAGGGTGGCTTAGTTATTCAAGTATAAGTACTTAACACGGTAATAAATGAAGGGACTTAATTTGCTCATGGTTGGACTAATTATGAGTACTTACATGGGTAAGAAGGATTTGTTCATGGTTGGCGTGTAAGTTAACGCACAAGGGTTATGTCACAAAACAAAGCTCCTAGATGACAGGTGGCACATTTTGAGAGACTTGACACTTAGTCTTGTATATAATAATTCGTAAAATTTTAGATATAACATTTCTTTACTCCCCTTCAAATTCTTTACATACTACAATATCCTTAACTTCCTTCCATTTTATTTTGCACTGGTTGTTATAACACGTTACGTATCCTTTAAGCAATCACCAATTATAGCATTAAATATTATAAACTTCCCCTTAAATTCATTATAAACCTCTCCGGCTCCTTCCATTTTTATTTTCATTAAGGTAAGAATCATTGGCAAACTTGCATCAATGTAGGAAGAGTTTTGCTACATGAACCCAAAATATGGGACCTACAGAGGGGACATGTGAGGTACTCTCCTCCTATTGCATAATGATCTGACCATTATTAAGGCCAGCTCATTATGTAATAGAAGGGGGACACCTCACATGCCCCCCCTATTGGTCCCATATTTTAGATCCTTGGGGAATTTTTCAGGTAAGAATCATTGGCTCCTTTTTTTCTTCAATATTACTAAAACATTTTAAAAAAATGTTTTTTGTTTTAATAGATTTTTGGCGTAGGAAATATGAAGATCATATATATACTTACTACTGGGGATTCAGGTATTGAATGTACTAAAAGATGCCTCCTTTATAGAAAATTTCAATGGTTTTTCTTTGAACTTGTTCACTATTCTATTTGTTTTTTTAGGAAGAAAATGGGGCGAGGAGCTCTATTCATTCATTAACTATAGTATATACATAACATAGTTGTTAGACCCTAGAGGAGGGGTGATTAGGGTCTTATGCTAATCTAATCCGATTAAATGCCAATTAAAATTAATTATCAAGTTATCCTAGCAAGTATAAAATACAACAAGATACGTAAGCTAGGATAAGCAATATGAACAAATGAATATATCCTATCAATGAGATATTACAAATATATGAGCAAGGATATATGAACTAACACAAGGGTAAAATAAACAATCTACACAAGTGATAGGGTAATATGATGAGCAATACACAAAGGCGATATAAGATATGAAAATGAAAACAAGTGCGCCAATGCAATCACAAACAAAGGATATGTTTACGAGGTTCGGTCCCCACGACCTACGTCCCCGCTCCTCACCTCGAGGAGATCTCCACTATCACAACCGGGTTTTCTACGTTCACCCGAACAACGTTTACACCTCACAATACAATCATTATGCAATCACACCTCACACACTAAGTGTTGGTCCTAGCCCGTGTCCTCCTCCTCAAGTGCTCGGTTACAACCTCTCCCTAGGCACGTCAACCGACGCCACTCCTCTTGGATTCGACCCCGTCTCTCACCACACACTTCTCTCGGTGTACAAGTGTATTACAAGTGAATCCTCACAATAAGCACAATATAAATCAAATGATTTGTTCTCTAAACAAGGTGAGAACTCAATTAAGCACAACTCTAAGTCACAAACCCACAACCCTAAATTATACTATGAATGTAAATACAATAAGCTCAATAGGTTGTGTGTGAACAAAGAGATAATAAAATCAACTAAACTCAATATGAACACTAGCTTAATAAAAAGATAATCAAACAATATAAAATATGAAGCTAGATTGAGTTTAGAAAACTTCTCAATAGATCAAGAGTGGAAGGAGAAGAGTTGGATGCTCAAACACCAATAGATGATCTCCTCAAGCTCTTGTGGAAGTGATTCACAAAACCAAAACACTCAAATGCTTAAAAGCTTATAAACACACTTAAACCAAACATAAACCCTTGATTAAAACTTTCTTAAACTTGTTTTTAAAACTCTCTT